AATTCGTACTAGATTATTAAAATTAGCAATCAATTCTTCTATTTCAAAATTCATTCACTTAACCTATAGTAGAATAAATCTTCTAACCAGGAAAATTTACCTATCTTAACTAAACTAAGGATAATGCAATAGGAAAACTCGGTACTTACCAGTAGTTATCCCTGCGGTGATTCTGCTACCAACTTCTGAAGAGGGCCGGCGGTTTCCGGGTAGGTTTGGTTGCCAAAGAGTTAAAACTCACGTTCAATTGGAATCGGTCTCGATGCCGTGGCTTCACAAAATCGAACTGCGAACTATCCTACTGACTGCGCCAGTTAAGTTATTTTAGTATTAAAACTTATTTTTAAAAGCAAAACTTTATTTTTATTGTACAACGGAATAGTGGTTTACTCGACAGAGGTTAAAGCAAGAATGAATCTAATGTTAACAAGAATTATCTACATGAAATATGATATCTGTACAACGTCACTATTATTTATGTGATATGGCAAAATGTCTTTATATAACTCGTTCAACTACAACGCAAAATCGTCTTATTGGGTTGGCCATTTTAGCGATTGAGCATGAAATTGCTGATCAAGTTAACTTAAAAAATGTAATAAAAACATTGCGGAAATCAAAGTTAGAAAGAAAAATTTCTTTTAGGTTACTTTATTTTATAGTTAATTTTTATAGAATGTAAAATTTCTCTGTTTGGTTAGGCAATAATTTTTTGTACTTTCTTAATAGTATAAAAGTATAGCAATAAAGATGCACGTGCTTTTAAGTTTTGCCTTTTTTAAATGTTTATTATGTATTACATATATTTTTTTTAAATAAATGATTTTAACATAATTTTTATTTTATTTAAAAAAACTGGTTCATGATAATTTTAGATAAATGTAAATTAAATGGACTTTATAAACGCCTGTGTGCCATTTAAAAATACGCGCGAGACAATGTTAATCAAACATAGATTTAATATACCCTATGTTGCGCAATAAAAAATATTCCATGTATATATTAATCAATAAAAGGACAAAATGTCACAATTAATAATATGGCAAACCTGAAACCGGCAACTATATAGTTTCGACTGCTTTGCGATATTTAAAAAATTATTATTTAAATTTAGTAGTTTTATTTAAAACTTTGAATCTTTTACGTATATACAGTGAGCATCATAAGTCTTACCCCCCCTATCTAACTCGTTACTGGAGTCGCCGAGACACGTCGATTTTTGATTTCTACAATGTACATTTTTGTATGAATAGTTTACCCTTAATTTCATCCCTTACTGGAGGGGAGCAACCCTTTCGAAAAATTTAAATGGCATGGGGTCTTGAGTGATAGCTCATTTATTCTCTATTCAACCGTTCAACAAATTTTGAAATTGGCTTCATTAATTTTCGACTAATTATTGTTTCAAAATAACGGAAATTAATGTAGCGCACTCATGCTTAGAATTAAAATTCGGCACTGCATGATATCGGTTTTGGTTCAGACGTAAAGTAAGACTTTTTGCCATTAGATAAGGTCACTGTTAGTTTAGTTGCTTTCCTATTTGTGATGTTTTGTTATTTTTAAACATTAATAAATCAACACGGAATGAAGCAAATTTCAAAATTTTTTACAAGGTTGAATAGAGAATAAAATACCCTTTCAAATGAGCTATCACTCACCACCCCATGCCATTTAAATTTTTCAAAAGGGATGAAAGTAAGGGATGAAATTAAGGGTAAACTATTCATACAAAAATGTACATTGTTGAAATCAAAAATCGACGTGTCTCGGCGATTTTCCTAACAAGACTCCAGTAACGAGTTAGTTAGGGGGGTAAGACTTATGATGCTCACTGTATAAAAAAGGTATTTGGGAAATGTAACACTAATCCTTAATTATTTTAGCCTCCTCTTGAGGAGAAAAAACTTAACACCTCATATGAAAGCTAATTTCTAATTTTATTAGTAATTTAATGCACATAACCTAAATGTCTCCATATTACAATTGTAAAAAAGTCAAGCCAAAATAGAATTATTTAATTTTTGTTTAAGGTAATTTTTCATTTACTTAGTTAATGCTATGTGGTGTATTAAATTACTAATAAAATTTGGTCTCATGTGAGGTGTGACACTTTGTATTACATAACACTTATTTTTCCCCTTGAGAAGGGGCTATTAATATTGCTGCATTCTCCAAATCATTACCTTTTCTATAGTGTGTCACACGTGGTAAATTCCCTATCTGAATGTTTATGTTGGGGGTAATAGAGATCTGTTACCTCTTATATCATAAGTTTAGCCTTACTATTCCAGAAACGGTCTTAAGCATTGTCTGATGTTATCTTTAATTAATGAAATATAGCCATTGTAAGTTTTTAAATTGTCACCCTGTATATAGGTATATATTCTTTAATTTTATGGTAGCTTTGTTCGCGGATCCTGTCGCTGACAAGTCCACGACAGATAAGCATACGCATTTCGATTTCAGGCCGTCGACTTTCGATTTTCGACCGCCTGAAATCGACAGGCTCCGCGAACTAAGCTATTATTAAAATACATTTTTACTCTATTTTTGTTTTTATTTAAGAATTTTTTTTACACGCCGCTGAACTTCACATTGATAAGGTTCGCAAAAGTTTGGAATTGGCGAGCCGATTTTAAGTTTAAGTGAATTGGTCTAGGTGTTCCGCTGGGATCCATTGTTGGGCCACTTCTTTTTAGTATTCATTTGCAATTTAATGTCTCTCCATTTAGAAAATGTTATAAGGACATTTTTATGTAGATTTTTCATTCTTACTTACCGACTTAAAAATGCCACACAAATTCTTAATAGAGACTTAGCGAGGTGGCTTCTTATTGGTTATAAACAATAAGCCGGATTGGGACAATTTAGGGGGTGATTTTACCTACCATCAATCTCTACAATTTAAATACTACTAACTGAACGCATAACTTGCAGTACTATGACGTCAATTTTCCACAAGCTGCAGTGGCGTAGCGTATGTTTCTGCCGCTCGGGGCATATGCCCCATTTGCCTCATACATAGAATTTTCAGTAAAATTTATAGTTCTCCATAATGTAACCGACAACCCCCGTACCCCTTTGATTTTTGTTTAAATCAGAAATTTATTATTTACCTCTCAATTTTGTTTTACTTTAAATTCTATACTTGTATTTGGTATTTTTCTTCTAGTAGTAGTGATCGTCTAGTTAATTAACTGATAATTTACATACTCACGTTGTGATAATCTTAATTAAGTAGAACAGGTGGTTAGTATAGGTGCCCCCTTGAGCTAACGAACGGTGTCAATTTACCAGTTAGTTAACTTACTATTAAATTTTACCATCTAGGTTTGCTTAGATTTGTGTGCATAATTTACTCAAGATGATACGTCTATGTATATTTATAAAATATTAATATTTAATTTCTATTGAAATGACCCAAATTCACCCATCGAATATGGGTAAATTTGTGACCCACCCAAAACATGTTAATTTAACTGCTTTGGATTATATTGTTATTTTGAAGCAAATGTCAGCCCCTATTGAAAACGAAACCCCGATGATATATCTCACCATTTGGCTCGTCAAACTAGACATTATATACTAATGTTATCTAGCGTTGTGACAACGTCGATTTTGGGTACGTCGCGGCGTTGAACGTCGCCTTGCGTCGTGGCGCAGAGGAAGATATTTATTACAGTACTGCGTCGAGACGGTTATAAGATAGAAAATACTTAGGAGGTACTGGGACGTCCCGGAGATGGACGGAACCGAGACATTAGAACGTCCATTGGACGTCCCGTTACCAGAAGAGGGCGTCCTTCGGATGTCCTTCATGTCCCTAAAGGAAGCTTTTAGACGTCCATAAGACGTCCATGTGGGAGGTGACTCTCTCCCACGCTACGCCACAGACAAACGGTTACGTATTTTTGGCAGTTGTATCTAGCTTCATTTTGGTGTACTGTTTAAATTCTTGTATGGGCTTTATTTTTTCTTTTTAATTATTAATGATGTTTCCTAAAGAATTAAATAATACATGTTTCTTTAATCAGATGAATTAATTTAATTAATTATTGATGTCAGTTATATTCATTGATTAACTAAAAATAGCCTTTTTTATTGAACTTGTATTTTAGGTTGTGAACCGCAAAACAATTATATAAAAACAAATATGGAACAAGGATATTTTGGATATTTTTTTATACATAGTGTTTTTTAACAATAAACACAGTACTTTGGAAATAAATCTTTGTAGATATTCTTAATTAATAGGTATACCTATACTTGATTAGAAAATTCATTTGACATAATATATTTTGAATTTGAAAGCTTACGCGTATATTCTTATTCATACATTCACACATGTGTGATATTTACCATAAGGATAAACTGGCTATACAGTGCGGTTTCTGTCACTTTCCGATAGGAACAATTATAAATGTTAAATTAATTCTCACTCAGAGAGTGTTTATAAAACTATAGAAGTCATCTCAGTGAACATTGAGTTTTTGATTTGATAAATGGTTGCTATACACGCAAGTATTATACGTATCTGTTAGCAGGCAAACAAATTTTTGTGTGATTACTCATTGTAATAAAATGTATAGAACAGCGGCAGTCAAGAGCGGGGAGTGCGAGGAAACGTTTGCAGTAGAAAAGTACCGCCGACACCCAGGCAGAACGAAGCGAGTCGCCTTGAGTGTCTAATGTGATTGTTGGCTCATGCATTGTGTTCTATCGGTGATCATTTGGTAACTAAATAATTATTTGACTTGATAATTAATAAAATCTATTATACCTATTAAAATCTCGTTGAAGTTTTATTAATTAAAAAGAATTAAATAAGAGACGAATTAAATAAATAAGTACTATTATAGAGGTAAACATGCGACACCAATTATTGGTTTTTATTTCTGTCTTGTTCAGAAGGTTGACTGGAGTTTACAAATTAATTCAACCATCTTGGAAATACCTCATGTGGTTTTAACATTCGTTATGACTTTCTGTGGTTTCACTTATTTTGTGGGTTCATTTAGAAACAAATCCTCAAATCTTCCTAAAAAGAGGTAAAAGTATGTTGTAAAAATGTAATTTTGAATAAAAGCGGACACGTTTGTATTTCTTTCTCTGAAATTTTAAGAAGTTAATTTTTTGTTTCAGATTGATACGGATGGTAATGGCTACATTAGTTTCCGGGAATTGAAGGGGTTTCTGGATACTCAGGAACACACGAAATTTCCCTCAAAAGTAGTTAAGTACGTTTATTGGAAATTTGACAGAAATAAAGACCAAAAATTGGACTTTGATGAATTTTTGGAAATGGTGCACGATCCGGATTTTAAGAGTTCCTTTGAAAAAGTAACTGAAAGGTAATCTGTTAAAAAAAAAATTAAATATAGCCAGTTAAAAATGTTATTGCTATGAAGAATTTATAAATAATGGAAATCCACTAGATATATAATATGTACAAAGAAACCGTCAATTTAATAAAAACCAATGCAATTAAAAATGTAAAAAATTCATAAGTTCGAATCTTTAAAATAGTTGTTGGATCATAATAACCTCTAAATATATATTTTTTTTTATTTTCTAATGTTACGTACAATGTTGTACAATTCGAGTGATTGTCCGTACCATCGTCCTAAAATTTCATCCTCATAAACTGGGTTGGCTAAGTATAATAGGGCGGAGTAAATTTTTCAACTTTTGAAACTTAACCTGTGTGCTTAAGATATATCTATTACATGCTAGAATAAGTGAAAGAAATCTGAGTTCCCAAAAATAATATCTTTCGCTTCCGAACCCATCTTAAATTTAATATATACGAATATATTAAATTTTAGACATTTATTAATTATTTTAAATAGTTTTTAGTGCACCTGGAACATAATTAAGTAAATATAATATATTTGTAAAATCATAAATAGTTTTTCATATGCTGCCAACTTACGTAGACAGTTGGTGACATATGAAAAACTTTTTTATTATTATTATTAGGAAAAAAGTTATTCTTTATTAAAAGTCGAGAATAATCTAAAACCTAAAATACAACTATAAGATATCAGTAGATGAGATTAGCCAGTTCTGGACCAAGGTCAGAGGTACAGAGAGAGGTAATTGGGTAATTAGTAATTATCCTAAGTACCCACCCCCCACCCTTCGCGCAATTAGCAAGTACCTCCCAATTACTATCATGTACTGTAATAAGTGTAATTGCATAGTGTAATTGCGTAGTGTAATGACACCTCTCATTACTCCATATACATAGAGGGGAGTATTTACTATGTGTATCACATAATGTGTAACGAGCATGGTAAGTACCCATACTCATCGAAGTGTAAGTACCTCTTAGATAGTAATTACTATGTATATCATATAATGAGTTTAGTCTAAATACATCTCAGTGATTACTATTGTGGCATAGGAAAAATAAGTCCATGTCTAAACAGATCCATGACTCTCAACCGCCATAGCTAGAGTGAAGCGCTAGTCTTCTGCAGACACGGGCAACGTAAACATTGATGGAAGGGGTAGAACCCCACCCTTCGCGCACCTTCAGACTTGTATATTAGGAATAGTGGAGGGAAGCATAGGAAAGGTGGGAATTTTTAGAGAGGGTATATAGTAGCGTGCATATCCAAATTAAATCAGTTTAAAATCGTAAGCTTTAAGCGTGTTTAGAAGCTCCAAATAATAACCAAGTGTAGTATTTTGTGAGTGTTATACAGGTAAAAAATATTTATTGTATTCTACCATGGCTCAAGCTCAGTTAGATATGCTAAATAAATTAGTTGGTGAATGGCCCACAATATTGGATCAGCGGGAATTAAAATCATTAGTTGTAGGTCAACTTTATATTATTAGGGCGATATTTGTCAAAAATACAAGATATGGTAAATGTTTACTTATTCATTTAATTGATCGGCTTTCACTTGAGCTTTTCCAGTGTTGGTTGCCGAGGCGCATTTTTGAAATAATGCCACCTGAAATCATTGCTACGATTAATGCTACTGCCGGCCAATATGCGTTGGTCTATTTAGGGGAAGCGCCGTGTTATGGATCAACTACTAGATCCCATATAAGATTCGATTTAGTTGGCCAGCAATCAATTAATTCATCTGTGGTAGAACCAGTGTAAATATTTTTTTACTTTTAATTACATATAGTATACACATTATTTCATTAAGAATTTCTACAATTTTATTGTAAGTATAACTTGACCCATATTTATCCCTTTAATAACGGCTATATATTGTTTCAGATTATTTCGATATGTGGATGATGTATTCCGCTGAGCACTGGCCTAAAGCCATCGACTTGAAATCAACAATAAGTAGAATTGGAAGGGAGCTGGACGCGTTGGCGATGGATGCATTACACTCCATCAATTACGATTCTGACGTATGGCCGTTTCCAGAAGCTGTAGCCTATCAAAATGCGAGATATGAGAAATACCGTGAAGGCAGCAGCCTTTGCCTCGAATATGAGGAATGTGGAATGGACTTGAACACGTTTTGTGAGAAGATGATTACCCTAGGTATGAAGAATTTCTTGGTAGATATCTTACCATACATAACGCCTGAAATGAGGAGCAAACATGGTTTGGGTGAAGAACCGCAGACAGATGATGAAATCGATTAGGGATTACTTATGTATATGTGTAAATAATATATCTATAAGTGTAATTAAAATATAAATAAAACAGTATACATAGTTCTAATGTTTTTTATTTAAAAAAGGTAACATATTATTTTTGTTATAAGTGAACACAAGTGTAATTTCAAATATATTAAATTAAAGTATATGAATTACAGCGGCATATATTCAGTCTGTACAGTTCCATCTAATGCATTATAACTTATAAGAGCTTCATGGATAATAAGTGCATATGCTTTAGTGTTGATGGGAAATCGCATTTTACGTGTTTCGAATTCAACTTTAACATCTACAGTTGAAGATTTAATTGGTTTTGGGCACATACTGCAATCAATTACGAATAAAGGATTCTTTCTAAATTCAGCAAGGCTTAACATTGGTTGAGGATTTTCCTTTTTATAGTAACTTCTCTGAAAATTTTCATAAGCATAATAAGCGAGAGTATCCAACTTTTTCCCAACATCTAAATTCCAACGCTCCGATGGGTAGACTTCGGAATTTAAATATAATCTAATATTGCTTATATCGGCAGCCGTAAACACCGTCACATCTTCTTGCCTATTCTCAGTAAAATTGGTATTTTGAAACCCAATAATTACATATCTAGGTCGTTCCATGGATGTGGTGGTTTTAATCGCCCGTATGTCGTGAGAAGTTTGTCTTAGAGTAGGTAATTCATAAAGATCCCATTTATGGTGTGCTATTTTAATGGATTGCAAATTTTTGTCATTAATTTTTTTATACATAAGAACGTCGGCATCATTTTCGGGAATAATATGTTTGACTATCCAATCCATTTTTGAGATAGTTATGTCCGCCTCGACTTCGCCTATATAGCAATTTTCAAATGATCGGGCAATTATTAGCGTCATCTCATGCTTAACACCTATTATCCCTTTCTTGTAAGATTCAGCGAAGCCAAATAGATGTTTTAATAAGAGTCTACCTGTAAATGTATTACTCGTTGAATCAACCAAAACTTGATTATCTTCACTGAGGCCCCAACCGGATGCCTCTAATGAGTTTGCATGTTTTTCACCATACGACACCATATTTTTTTATTGCTGTCGTTATAATAGGTTTTCGACATTCGGCAATCTTTTGTCCACCCATTTCATATCTAATTTCATCAAATAGACCAGGAATAGCGTTGTTGGCCAAATAGCACTTTTTAGCAGCATCTTTAGGTTTAAATGTTCTCTGTATATTGATGTAACTATCCGAAATTTTGAGATTCAGGTCCATATTATTGATCGTAAAGGTGATTGTATCAGAATGTTTGTAATTTGGTGATCCCGTAGGTGGGTGCATATGTTCAGCACATCTTCTGATTGAGTTATCGATGACTGGCTTTTCAAATACGTTCAACATTTCATTTCTTACATAAACAGCCATGATTTAATATCTTATATGCAAACCAATAGATTGAAGAAACGTATAATCTTTATTAGATAACTGAAGTCTTCTTCGCTTTACTGTTATTCGACGAGTGTTCATGTTTTTCCTTTCAATTCTATTTATATGGTGATTTAAATGGCCGCTAGTTGAATATCGTGGTTTGAAGCAGAATCCCATATTAGTTTATCTCTTTTAATTCAACTATGATGTTGATGGTTTCTCCCCCAAAGTCAATCGGCTCACCGTTATCGTCTACAACTCGAATAGTAATGTTGTCTATGTATTGTCGACCGGATGGTATAACGGGTAGATAGATAATGTTATGAGGCTCCTTCACAAGCCTGTATCCTGGCTCAACATCCAAGTTAAATGAAAAAAGGGTGTGGGCTTCTTTCCCATTTATAAAGGAACCGGAAATAATATTACAATCCAATAGAATAAGGCCAAAGTTCATAATATTGACGGGCATCGAAGATTCATTAGTATAAAATGCCGGGTACATCGCATTTTCGAATCCTAAAAGTTTGCCTAAACTGTTGACACAATCAAATCGGATGACGAATTTAGATGTAATTTCACATTTTAGAGTATTGTTATTTGCTACCAAATTAAACAAATCGTCCAATTCTTCTTGTTTTTCCGCCTTGATTTCGGGAGATACGATTTTCCACAATTTGGTTTGAATGTACTTATTTATTTCATCAATCTCGTAAGCGCCAGGCGGAATAAATATTTCTTCCTTTAATACTACCCTGCTACCATCAAAAGGAACGACTTCTAGGCAAATGACATTATTTTTATGATCAATATTTCTGATAGAATGATAGGAATAAAATCCTATTAATCCGAGTCCATACTGTTTGTTAACATCCAATTTGATAGGCGGATAAAAATCAGCGCTAAGAACGCTTGACCCAGTAGATGTCAATTGAAATGTTGTTGACATGTCTAGGCAATAAGTCACACTGGCACCAAAATCTATTTTCGATTACATAAATTATA